GTGTGGAGGGCCCTGCTGGGCATAGGTGGAAGAAGAGAACCTTGACCTCATGAAGGCTGGACGCCCCAGGGGGTGGGAATTTTGAGGGTGGGGAGGTGGAGGGGGGGTAGATAGAGGTTACATCCACAGAGAAGAAGGAGGAGGGGTGAGAGGATTGGGGGTTCCTGGGTGGGGGATGGGGTAAGGGGACAACATAGGAAATGTAAATAAAACATCCAATAAAAATTAAAAAAAAAAAAAGAGTAGAGGGCAGACAGTGAGGAAGGCTGGGAATGTGAAGGGGCACTGCGGACACAGAGCTGAGGATTTTAATGTCGCTGTGGAGCTTCGCTTGATGTTTTTGAGCCTGGTGGTGAGGGACCTGGATTGCATTTGTAAAGGATCACTCTGGCTGCTGGGTTGAAGCCTAGGCATAGGAAGGAGCCAGGCTGCAAGGTCCGTGGCTGCAGTGGGCTAGGTGGATGACAACCTAGATTCTAGATGGTCCTGATAGAGGTGTGGAAAAGACACTGATTCTGGAAACATCCAAACTGTTCCATGTGGATTAAACAGCATCTGCAAAACCCTTGAGTGGGTTCAAATCATCAGAAGTTTTGCTTTTATGTTACATTCAATTTGCCCGTATCCTTTTTATCCAAATCTGATGTTTCTGTCTCATCACTGAAATTTTAAAAACCAAGGTTTAAAAGACTTAGTAACTTTCCATGAGTTAAGTATTCCATGCATTAGGGTTTTCCTTTCATTTTATTTATTTGTTTATTTTTGTGGATTTTGGGTTTTTTTTTGTTTTGTTTTGTTTTTTTGTTTTTCGAGACAGGGTTTCTCTGTGTAGTCCTGGCTGTCCTGGAACTCACTCTGCAGACCAGCCTGGCCTCGAACTTAGAGATCCTCTGCCTCTGCCTCCTGAATGCTGGGATTAAAGCCTTGTGCCACCACCTCCTGGCTGCTTTGGGGTTTTCTTAAAGTAAGACGGTAAGTAAGAAAAAGCAGGGTGAAATGACGCCAGGTGAGACTCCTTGGATTTAGAGCTACCTTTAAAGCTCAAAACTTGCAAACTCTTTCTTGGGGACCACAGCACCTTCAAGGAAAGCAGAGGTGTCTTTCTTCCTCTACCTTTAGTACCCAGGGTCAAGCAGATTATGGTAGCTCTAGACACCTCTCTCTTGGCCACTGAGTATTAGAAAATGTTCATGCCCAGGCTTCCTGCTTCCTTACAAACCAGTTGTATGAGCCTCTGCAATGAGGTCTGGCATTGGCTTTCTTTGTCTAATTCACTTTGAGATACCACCCACTTCCCGCAAGGTGAGTCTAATTGCAAAGGGGGCTGGCAAGCCTGGCTTGCAGCAGACTGCTACCCCCTCAGGAGACTTAAGAAGTCAGTCGCCACTAAGAAAAAAGATGGTGGTGTTTCTGGAGAGTGGTGGATATCAGAGACATCTTATTTGTACCTGTTCTTTTTAAACCTTCAGGTCTTTCTTGCTGTGACCGCTGAGCTGAACTGTGACCTGCTCTCTAAAGAGCAGAGAGCATATATAACCACTGTCTGCCCTCATGTCAAAAGCATGGAGGGTAGAGACGGAATTAAGAAGGTGTGTGGCAACTTCAAAGATATTGAAAAGATATATCAGTTCTTGAGTGCCCAGCTTTTGGAAAGTGAACAGAAACGGAAGTACGCCCCACAGAAATACATACCTTCCGATGTGGAGAGGGAGCCACCCAGTCAGAGCAGTTGTGAAGTTCCTGTACTTCTCCTTGAATATTTCAAGCATGTTTATCCGGGTAGACTAGAAGCCATAGAGAAAAAATTTGGTGTAAACATTGAAATCCAAGAGAGTTCTCCCAATATGGTCTCTGTAGGCTTCACCTCCAGCCAATCAGGAAACTTAGAAGAAGCAAGTCGGGCTTTTGTCAGAGACTTTCAGAAATGCACGCAGTCTCTGAAGCAACATTGTATCTCTTTAGAGGAACCCCAGAGAGCAAAGGAGATCAGACAGGAGCTGAATCGCTGCTTCCCAAAGCTTTTGATAAAGGCGCAGGGAAGAATGCTAACTCTCCTCGGCTTGTCTGCTGACATTTCAGCCGCCACAGAAAAGGTCTCCCAAACTCTTGTTCTGACACCTGTGAAAGTAACTGCATCTGGGTACATGACAGGGATCGAGGTCGATTCGACGCGCTTTAAGCTTCTAGAGCCTGAACTGCTCCTGGAAATAGCAGAGATCGAGCAGAAGTTTAACACGTGTGGTAGAGTCCTGGAAAAGGGGCAGAAAACCTGCATTCAATTTGTCCCCAAGGATAAAGAGTTAGACCTGTCTGTGCAGTCCTACACAAGTTTTACTGATGCCTTCCAGCATGCCACGTGCCAGCTGAGGACAGAAGTTCTGTCACTGAAACAGTTGGGCAAGGAGAGAGCTCGGGTACACAAGACCAAGTTTGCCGACGACTTAAGAAAAAAGCACCCAAACGTGCACTTTGTGATATCTCAGGAGTCGGTGACCTTGACTGGTTTGCCTAATCGCCTCGCGCAGGCAATGCAGTCTGTCTCCAAAAGAATGGGACTGTCCTCGTCGTCTGGAGAGAAATTGGCTATGGATCATGAAACACCCATGGAGATCAACAGGAATGACTCGAATGTAGCTTTACCTCCTCCTCGAGGCTCTGCAAGCAGCCCTGCAGCCTCGAAGGGGAAGGAGGACGAGGACAACTGTGTCATCTGCATGGATACCATCAGCAACAAGTATGTGCTCTCTAAATGCAAGCATGAATTCTGCGCCTCTTGTATCAGAAAAGCCATGTCAATCAAGCCTGTCTGTCCTGTGTGTCTGACTTCCTACGGTGTCCAGAAAGGGAACCAGCCAGAGGGAACCATGACTCATGCCACTCAAAAAGAGTCACTTCCGGGTTATGAAGGCTGTGGTACTATTGTGATTCATTACGATATGAAAGGTGGCGTCCAAACAGTAAGTGTGCCCGAGGAATGTGAGTTTCTTTTCGCTATGCTAGAATTGCCAAAGTCCAAGGGGGCACCCTATAGCCTCTTACATAATGGTTTTCCCAGGAAATCAATCATTCTGTGATTGTGGGAAGGGTCATAATAGAGGCAGCGATGATGTCGCCTGCTTAGAAATTAGATGCCTTTTTAGTTACTTTGACCGTGTATTGAACTCGGGGCCTTGGACTTGCCAAGCAAGAACCCAATGAGCTATACTCCTAGCCTTTCGTGTCTTCTTCTTTTCTTTTTTTTTTCTTTTTTTTTTTTTTTGGTGGTGGTGGGGGCTTGAGACAGGGTTTCTCTATGTAACAGCCCTGGATGTTCTGGAACTCAATTTGTAAAGCAGGCTGGCCTTAAACTCATGGAGATCCACCTGCCTCTGCCTCCTGAGTGCTGGAACTAAAGGTGTGCACCACCGCCGCCTGGCCTCATGCCTTTTTATTAAAGGTAGAAATCATATGTTAGGATGGGAGGAGTTGGACAGGTAGTGTCTTAATTTGAAGAGGAAAGCTATGAATTATTCAGAATATGAGTAAAATATCAATATTTTTCTGGCTTTCAATAGGCTTCATCTACCATGAACATACCTTTACTAAACTAAAATTCAGAGGTATGGGTGTGTGTGTGTGTGTGTGTGTGTGTGTGTAAACATTTTCTTTTCTTCATACAGAGTGAGCACCCAAACCCAGGAAAGTCTTATTATGGAACACGACGAGTTGCATACTTGCCTGATAATACCGAGGGAAGAAAGGTTTTGGATCTGCTCCGAGAAGCCTTTAAACACAAGCTGACTTTCACAGTAGGAGACTCTCGAGTATTAGGAATCTCAGATGTCATTACATGGAATGATATTCATCACAAAACAGCCAAGTTTGGAGGACCAGGAAAGTAAGAGTCTTGGTTGTAATGGTTGCTGAATGAACTACAAGGTTCTCAAATGCTGTAGTTTGAGGCTGTGGGTATAAAATGACATTCTAGCCCTAGATGTTCTCCCAGCGTCTCAGTTAGGGTTACTGTTGCTGTGATAACCCAAAAGCAACTTCAGGAGGAACAGGTTTGTTTGCCTTACATATTCCCAGTCACAGTCCACTGAAGGAAGAAGACAAGGCAGGAGCTCAAAATAGGCAGGAATCGGAAGGCAGGAGCTGATGCAGAGGCCGTCGAGGAGTGCTGCTTATGGCTTGCTCGGCCTGCTTTCTTACAGCATGCAGGATCACCAGTCCAGGGGTGGCACCACTGACATTGGGCTGGGTCCTTCAGACACCAATCTCAATTATAAGAAAATGCCTTACTGGCTTGCCAACTTCCCGATCTTATGGAGGCAGTTTTCTGTGTAAACCCTGACTGTCCTGGAACTCACTCTGTAGACCCCTCTGCCTCCCAAGTGTTGGGATTGGAGTTGCTTGCCAACACTGCCCCAGGAGGCAGTTTCTCAATTGAGGTTCTCTCCTCTCTGATGACTCCAACCTGTGTCAAGTTGACATAAAAGTAACCATCACACACAGCACACACACACTAGTCCATGATGATAATTTCAAAGATTAAAAAAGACTGGTCCACCCATCCTTCTACCCTGCCATTCATAAGGTATGACTTAGTTATTTAGTTTTGCTTCAAAAGAAAGGGGTTTCAGAATCCAAGATGAATGCTACTCAAGTTGATTAAATTTAGCTGATAAATTTCATGTTTATTTAAAAGATAGATCCTAGGAATGTCATTTGCCTTTGATTTCTTTTTTTTTAGGTTTATTTATTTTTATGTGCATAAGTGGCTTGTCTGCATGTATGTCTGTATAAGGTTGTCAGATCCCCTGAAGTTACAGTTGTGAGCTGCCATGCAAGTGTTGGGAATTGAACTCGGGTCTTCTGCAAAAGCAGCCAGTGCTCTTAACCATTGAGTCATCTCTCCAGCACGACTTTGATTTCTTTTAGGATCATCTCCCTCTCCTTTGCCTCTTCTTTCCCATCAGTCCACAACGATACTGAACTCACAAGGCTAATACGTAGTAGAAAAAGTCTTAGTTATAAAGAGTCCCAAGATGGTAGGAGATGTTTTCTAGGATATCTGACTGTACTTTATGAAACCCAGAATTCCTCTACCCGTGGCATCCAAAAGAAATATACCGTGAGACCTTTTCATATCCCCTAATTTGAAAAGCCCATAGGGACTGGAGAGATGGCTCAGCAGTTAAGAGCACTGATTGTTCTTCCAGAGGTCCTGAGTTCAATCCCCACCAACCACATGGTGGCTCACAAGTATCTATAATGGGATTTGATGCCTTCTTCTGGTGTGTCTGAAAAGCCCACAAGTGTATGATTACTACTGCCTCTGTATTATACGACAATTATAACATTATGTACATCAGTACTTAGAATAAGTTAAGAATTTAAGCAATCTGGCTAGAAAATCTGCTGGTCAGCCAGCCAGCCCCTTGAGTCACTAGATATCAGTCACTGTCTGGATTGCCGGAGAATGTTTGGAACCCAGATTTCTAGATGCTCAAATACAAATAGCACATACAGGTTTTGTTGTTTTGAAGCAGGGTCTCATTATATGGCTCAGACTGGCCCCAGACTCTCAGAGCTCTGACTGCTGTGGCCATCTGAGTACTAAGCGCCTGTGTCACCATACCTGAATACTGTACACAATCTTAAGAATTATTTGGGAGGAAGCTAAAGGGTTTCTTTTTTTCTTCCTGCAGTTTTGGCTACCCTGATCCTGATTACCTGAAACGTGTCAAGGAGGAGCTAAAATCAAAAGGGATTGAGTAAGGAAACTGCGGGAAAGATGTCTATCCACTTGCAAAAGAAGTGTGTTAGGAGGCTGTGTTAGTACAACCAAAATCTTTCTCTAGAACTTTATAACATTTTTCATGTGAAGTAGTTTGCTTGCGGGTCATTTCTAGAGTGCCACTCTTTGATGGAAGGTGAGCTACAAAGGACATGGGCTGGGGAAATGGCTTCATCTACAGTGTGAAGAAAGGAGCTCAGATCTGCATCCCCCATAGTGTGATGGGGTGCACTTGTAATCTTAGCCCTGGTGAGTGGAAACAGGAGGATTCCTGGAGCTTACTGGACAACTAGTCTAGTCAAAACCATGAGTTCCAGGTTCACTGAGAGACCTTGTCTCAAGAAATAAGGTAGATTGGGACATGGTGATGCATGCCTTTAATGCCAGAACTTGGAAGACAGAAGTGGGCAATTCTTGAGTTCCAGACCCAGCCTAGTCTACAGAGCCCAAGTCCTAGGACAGCCAGCTATACATAGTGAGACCTTGTCTCAAAACAAATGTTAGGTAGACAGAAATAAAGATATCTACATCATCCTCTGTCCTGCATACACACCTCCACAGACATGTGTACAAACACACACACATATATACACACATACACACTCACACATAGGGGGACGGGTAGAAAAGAAAACTTTATAGTTTTGTAGGATTTCAATTTTTGCTGAAGAAATCTGTCATTCTTGAGTTATGGCTGGGCTTGTTAGGTGAGTCTGTAACCATTTTCTATGTCCTCACTTGAGCCATTGGCAACTAATGGAACCTTCCCTGGTCTTTGTTTGTTTATTTGAGTCAGGGTCTCACTGCCTAGCTCTTCGATTTGTGGACCAGATTGGTCTTGAACTTAAATCTGCCTGTATCAGCCTCCTGAGTGCTGGCATTAAAGACACATGCTACATTGCATGTTTTTTATTTGTTTGAGGGTTTTTTGTTGTTGCTTTTTTTTGTTTTGTTTGGTTTTGTTTGGTTTGGTATGGGTGTTGGGACTTAAACCGTAGGCCCTTGGTTTGGGTGTTGGGACTTAAACTCTAGGCCAATGAGTTCCATTCCATAATTTTCTTTTTGTCCATCTCTGTAGCAATACATTAGTTGTTTATTTTTTAATCTCTTCCTGAACCCTTGTGTAAATGGGAAAGTGAAACCCTTGTATAAATGTGAAGTTTAAAAACAGGTTTGGCTGGGAAAGACCCATATTTCCTCCCCTATCCATAGCAAGAAAAGTTTCCAGAAGATCAGGCAACAAGAAGACTCATATTTTTCAGAATACAGAGTCTAGGAGAGTGTGTGTGGTTACTGCCTGACTGAAGTTGCTAGTAGCTCAGCAGAGGGATAAATATATTAAAAAAGAATATGTTCCCCAAACCTTTGGGAGAGAGATGACTTGAGACCTTGGCATTCATTTGGAAAATAGTTTCTTACCCCAACATGTACCGATTAGACTCTGACTAAGCCTTGAACTTGGGCTCTTCTCTCCCCTTATCCATGGAACCTGTTCTAGAGGACGCACTTGCCCTGCCATACAAGTGCAACATGTTTCTTACATTTTTCCCCATGCATTATGTTATACTTTTTGAATATATACTGTTTCAAGTTTTAATGGATAGCCTTGCCTTAGTTTAATATTTTACAATAATTGTTACCTGCAATGTAGTAGCTTTTTGGTTTTTAATCCTTTGAATCCTGGCAGTCTATGTTATCTCTCATATAGTCTTTCTAATCTTTTCCCTGGACAGGAGTAAAACCTACTGTAACGTTAAACCTACTGTAGAGTCTATATGGTATGTCACAGTTCACTATAAGTGGTTCTTCAAGTCAAAAGGAGATCACAGCAGACAGTGACCTGGTGACCTGCATTCCAGCCACTCTCTAAAATGGTAGATGACACCTTGACCTTCCTTAAGACATACATGCACATACATAAAACCATTTTGGCCAGATATTAATAGCAAATATTTATCAAGTACTTACTCTGTAAGTACTTTACATTGATATGATCAATACAGTTAATAGCCCTATTTGAACAGAAAACTCATACACAGAACATAGTAGTCAATCACCGAAGATGATATGACCAATAAGTAGAAGTGCTAACTTTTACTTTCATCTCCATTTGTTTTTGTTTTGTTTGTTTGTTTGAGACAGGGGTATTGTAACCAGACTGGCCTCTCCCTTTGTAGCCAAGACTATTGTTGAACTCTGACCCTCTTGCCTCACCTCCTGCCCAAGTTCTTGCATGTATCCTAGGCAGATCTCTCAGGATCTGCTTCCAAAGCCTTCCAAGTGCAAGGCCTGCACCACCATGCCTGACTTCTGCATCCAGTTTAGACCTTTTCCCTTTTCATGATTCACCACGTGTTTATCATTAAGACTAACTGATCATTTTCTGTCCTCTAATCTTGTAATTAAATTTACTCTATAGAAGCAGAAAATACAGTTTCTGTTAAGTTCTGGGTCTTTTATTTCATCCAGTGTGTATATGCAAATTCCATGTGGTCTGAGTGCTTATTGGCATTTGGATTGTTTTTTCTTTTGCAAGATGTTATTATCTGAATTTTAAAAAAATTAAAAAATTAAATTATGTACAACAGACTGTGTGGTTTCCCTCATTCGTTTTACTGTTTCCTTAGGTTGGACTTCTGGGTGTTTCCTGTGACACATACAGGATACAGAGGTGTGTGGAGGCATTTGGGTTGGTGTGTGTGTAGTTCCACCATCACAAAACAATTCTTTTAATTGACTTCACTTTTGATTGCAAAGAAAAAAAAGTTATATTTCTCAGTATTTTTTTCTACCTAGTGAATGTAGGCTGCTATAGAGACAAAAGTAGATCGCAGGGCCATTGAGAGAGATCAGAGGGTAAAGGCAGTTGCTCCCAAACTACCTGATGCCTGGAACCCACCAAGTAAAAGGAGAAAACCGACTCCTGCAAGATGTCCTCTCACCCCCATGTGCACGGCATGGCACCCCCTCAATAAACAATTTACTTTTATGCATATGCATGTTTTGCTTATATATCTGTGTGTGTACCACATGCATGCAGTGCCTTCAGAGTTCGAAGGAGGGCGTCTAGATCTCCTGGAACTCGAGTTCTAGACCGTGGAGAGCTATCGTGTAAGCTGGGAATTGAACCCAGGCCCTCTGTAAGAGCAGCAAGCACCCTTCAACCACTGAGCCAGCTCTCCAGAACAATGAATGTTTCTTCTACAGTAAGCTACAGGTTTCATCTTTTTGGAATCACAGAAAGCATATTTACTCTCTATTAAACCTATCGCCCTGTCCCTGCTTACTGAGTGCCAGCAGCAGATTGGGGGCACTCTACTCTCCAAGAGAAAAAATGCTAAAAATCAAACCATTTAATATTTCCTTAAAACAATGTCAGCTACGCCAGCATAGCTGACTCAGTTCCTTGGATCGGCGGAGGGCTGAGGGCGAGAGAAAGAAAGACAAGGAGTCATCTGGTAAAGACCAAATGCTATCTTTTCAACTGCGTAGCTCCCTTTTATACTCCCCACAAAACAGGAACAGGAACAAAACAGGAACAAGGAGATACACTTGGCAGCCTATCACCTAAGCTTGGGTTTCTCTTCAAGCAGTCTTTTTGGGGAAATGCATAGAGACGGGGCGGGGGGGGGGGGAGCTGGCACAACAGCACAGGTGCAGAGGATGGTGACTCACAAAACAACATCAAGATAGAAGTCAGGAGGGAAGAAAATGAAACTGTTATTTAACTTTTTAATTTTATTTTATTTCTCACTGGTTTTGGGAGTTTATTTAGCATTATTGTTAGTAGTTAGCAGTAGTAGTAGTTAGCATTATTACTAGCAGTAGCATTAGGGAGTTCACCCCAGGAAAAGATTACAGACTCAATCAGATTATAATTAACTAAGTTTATTAAAGCTGGTTGCTAGCAGGACAACAATCTCTGAGCCAAACTTGAAATTGCCACACAAAGTGGGGATGAGGAAGGATTTTTATGGGGGAAAAGCACAAGAAGACTTTGAATGTCTGCACAAGCAAATGAAGAGCCATTCTGTCTGCCAAGATTATGGGTAAAGGCGACCTCAAAATAGTCCTCAAATGTCTGCATAGGCAGGTTACAGAAGCCAAACTATACTCATAACAAGTAGATAGTCATGGCTATAAATTTCTGGGGGGGGGGGGAGCATGTCACCAAGTCAGGGATTCAGAGGCAATGGCTAGTGGGCAGCAAGATGGATGCCTAGCATAAAATGGAGTTTCTTTAGACAACACAGTGTTAGTATTTTGATTGATTGGGTCCCAAGGCCTCTAAAACACAGTGACTCAGGCCAAAATTAAGATACTATTTGTGAGCTCATGACAGTGAATACAAAGAGAAACAGAAAGAGGCAGGCGTCAAGATAGCAGACAGCATACCCCTATGGGTTATCACCAGCTGCCCACAACCCTGGAGAAAACACATCAGGGTCACTCAGCAGTTCTGGCCACTTGGTAATTGAGCTGGAAAGGAGCCCAGACGTCAAAATTTAGATGATGCCTCATTTTCTAGTAGAGGGCACTCAGATCGATTCCCAGGAAAATATGACTCACCGTGAAATACATACATATTAAAATGTAGTCCTGGTGAAACCATTGGCTCCTGTCTCTCCAGCACCTCTCCTGTCCATAGTTTAGGTCCCACCACTTCTTGTAGTTCAAGTTTCAATGTGGTTTGGCTTCCTCAGAGTTCTCTCACCAGGATTGCTGAAATACCCTCAGAGATGCTGTCTTCACACCTGACTACCTCCCCCCCTTAAAGCATACATTATTTGTACACTAATAATGAGTCTCATAGATGTCTCACACCATGCACTTTGATTATCTACAATGTCACCATTAGTCCTTTCTGGTTCTCATTTCACTTCCTGATATGCAGTATTTGTCTTTCTGAGTTCAACTTAACGTTGCTCAACCTGGAACTAGATCAACCTCTGCTAACCCACATCTACCTCTCCACAGGTCACCACAGTGAACTCATGGACTTAGCCTATGTGCCCATCACTGGATGAACAGATAAAGAAAATGAGGTTCTCTGGGTTAGAGAATACAGCAGTTAAGAATACTTGCTGCGGCCTGCTCCTCCAAGCTGGAGCAGACACAGAGTCAGTCTGCTCCTGTCCTGTGGAGAAACTGAATCCTGAGTCATCCAGGAGCCACTGCACTCAGAGCAGCTGGTAAGAACTCCATCTCACTCCCTAAACCCCAGAGATAGATCGGGGAGCCAGGGACATCCAGGGCACAGCAGCTACCCAAACCCCGCCCCTCCAGAATTCCACTTCCCTTCTGCCCCTGCCTGCTCCTCCGAGCTGGAGCAGACACAGAGTCAGTCTGCTCCCGTCCTGTGGAGAAACTGAATCCTGAGTCATCCAGGAGCCACTGCACTCAGAGCAGGTGACACAGAGTCGGTCTGCTCCTGTCCTGTTGAGAAACTGAATCCTGAGTCATCCAGGAGCCACTGCACTCAGAGCAGCTGGAGCCACTGCACTCAGAGCAGCTGAAACTGAATCCTGAGTCATCGAGGACCCACTGCACTCAGAGCAGAAGGATTTCCAGATCCAAGAGGTGGCCTGAGTCCCAGGAGTTATTCCACCCAGGAGATTAGGAGCATAAGACCACAGAGACCTCTGGACTCTGAGGAGCTCTGCAATAAGCAAGATAACTGGAAATACAGACTCCAGTTTTACACAGTGAGGGCAGGTACCACTAGAGTTAACCAGATGGCGAAAGGCAAGCGCAAGAACATAAGCAACGGAAACCAAAGTTTCTTGGCATCATCAGTGCCCAATTCTCCCAATATAGCAAGCCCTGAACACCCCATCACACCTGAAAAGCAGAATTCAGAATTAAAATCACTTCTCATGATGATGATAGAGGATTATAAGAAGGAATTAAGTAACTCCCTTAAAGAAATACAGGAGAGTACAAGTAAACAGATAGAAGCCCTTAAAGAGGAATCACAGAAATCCCTTAAAGAAATGGAAGAAAACACAAAGAAGGAATTAAACAAAAACATTCAGGACCTGAAACTAGAAATAGAAACAATAAAGAAAGTTCAAAGGGAGACAACCATGGAGATAGAAAACCTAAGAAAGAGATCAGGAGTCACAGACGCAAGCATCACCAACCGAATACAAGAGATAGAAGAGAGAATCTCAAATGCAGAAGATACGGTGGAAAATATTGACACAGTTGTCAAAGAAAATGCAAAACGCAAAAAAACTCCTAACTCAAAACATCCAGGAAATCCAGGACACAATGAGAAGACCAAACCTAAGGATAATAGGTATAGATGAGAATGAAGATTCCCAACTTAAAGGGCCAGTAAATATCTTCAACAAAATTATTGAGGAAAACTTCCCTAACCTAAAGAACAAGATGCCCATAAACATACAAGAAGCCTACAGAACACCAAATAGACTAGACCAGAAAAGAAATACCTCCCGTCACATAATAATCAAAACATCAGATGCACAAAACAAAGAAAAAATACTAAAAGCAGTAAGGGAAAAAGGTCAAGTAACATATAAAGGCAGACATATAAGAATTACACCAGACTTCTCACCAGAGACTATAAAAGCCAGAAGAGCCTGGACGGACATCATACAGACACTAAGAGAACACAATTGCCAGCCCAGATTACTATACCCAGCAAAACTCTCAATCACTATAGATGGTGAAACCAAGATATTCCATGACAAAACCAAATTTGCACAATATCTTCCCACAAACCCAGCACTTCAAAGGATAATTGATGGAAAATGCCAACACAAGGAGGGAAACTACAACCTAGGAAAAGCAAGTAAGTAATCTTCCAACAACCCCCAAAAAAGATACAAACATAACTTTACCTCTAATAAAAAAAATAACAGGAAGCAACAATCATTTTTCCTTAATATCTCTTAACATCAATGGTCTCAATTCCCCAATAAAAAGACGCAGACTATCAGACTGGATACACAAACAAGACCCAGAATTTTGCTGCATACAAGAAACGCACCTCAGTGACAAAGACAGACACTACCTCAGAATAAAAGGGTGGAAAACAATTTTTCAAGCCAATGGTCCCAAGAAACAAGCTGGAGTAGCCATTCTAATATCAAATAAAATCGACTTTCATCCAAAATTAATCAAAAAAGATAAGGAAGGACACTTCATACTCATCAAAGGAAAAATCTACCAAGGTGAACTCTCAATTCTGAACATCTATGCTCCAAATGCAAGGGCACCTACATACATAAAAGAAACTTTACTAAAGCTCAAAACACACATTACACCTCACACAATCATAGTGGGGGATTTCAACACCCCACTGTCAGCAATGGACAGATCATGGAAACAGAAACTAAACAGAGACACTTTGAAATTAACAGAAGTTATGAACCAAATGGACTTAACAGACATCTATAGAACATTTCATCCTAAAACAAAAGAATATACCTTTTTCTCAGCACCTCATGGTACCTTCTCCAAAATAGACCATATAATTGGTCACAAAACAAGCCTCTACAGATACAAAAAGATTGAAATAATCCCTTGCATCTTATCAGATCACCACGGACTAAGACTGGTCT